AATATGCATAAATTCGCATGCGGAAATGAATAAACTAACCGATTATTAAAAGTATAAATAAATTGTTTAATTTATAACAAAGCAAAATTGTATCGTAACAATCTCCGAAACTACTACTTTCCAAATGGCATATTATTAGGCACATAAATACGCTACTTTTCTCTAATTCAATCGACCCCGTATCACTTACCGTTTTCGATATCCTCATGCTGTTTATCATCTTGGACACTTGAGACACTTAAGAAAAGACCTTTCAGTGCTCGTCGAAATAGGAAATCGACAGATTTCCAATATCGCAATAAGCTACTGATGTCCTGAGATATATAGTTCAAGTATAGAGACCAGAAGTAACAGCATATAAACCTTTATCAGGACTTAACTACAATAATATACTCAAAATAGTTTCTTCATGAAGATATAAATATGGAACACCTAGTAACGGTAGACTGAAAAAAAAAACTGGCACAATACGAGCAGAAAAACATAGACATTTTTCAAATGAATGAAATTTTGAAAAAGTGAGTTCTTTTATGTGGAATAATCATCTGAATACCAGATAATTTACTCCTATCTTTCTGGTATTCAAGTAGAAATTCATAAAGTTGGCTCACATTGTTAGAATCTGTTAACATAAAATGTTACTCATTATTCATGTATGTCATTTCTGAATATTTTCTTTCAATTAGAGTTGTTTCCCTATCTTTGATTTCTATGTGTTTGATATCCATTCAGTGATCCTTCATATTGACGTGTTCATATGATGCGCAATAATTAACGTTTCGTCTGTAGTCGCCTTTGTATGAAGTTATGAAACTGATAAGAGACGTAGAAGAATGACCTATATATGTTTTGAATCAATCCACACTTGAAATTTTGTATATTGTGTTCGAAATGATTTTAGATGAATGGACGGATGTTAGATGCGGTGTTGCGTCCAGGAAAAGATAAATACTCAACGCAAATAAAATTGTTTCATTCATCCTCTCTAACAACAATGTACATCAACCCATTTTCTTCGGTGTCCACCATACTCTTAACAGTATAAACTCCCTTGACCAGTGTTGCCAACCTATCAGTGAGAAGAATGCACTTTACGAACAAATGTAAGGTGTGTTGAAATCTATGAGGCCTCATTTCAGCATTTTCTCAAATAAACACCCATTCAAAGATAACGGTTTCTCTGATACTTCGATTTCACGTGCGACATCAATGAAGTTTTCCAGCTGAATATTCTTAGAAAACTTGAACTTTATAGAATTTCATATGTTTCAGCCTGCGATGTTTCCATTCATTCAATGAATGAAAATAGTTGTTAGTAGTAATTTCAATGTGATCCAATTCCGTTTCTGTGGTATCATGTCAATTCGAATGTAATGAATAAATACTTATTATCGCCAATGAGCGTGAAAATTATGTCAATATGTATGGAGGCCAATTATTTCGATGATGGATGCAATAGAGCACAGAGGAAATTATTGAGTTCAACAGTTTTCAATGACAAACAGGAGTTTTTGAAGGCGAAGTCCCAAAGAACACTACTACCCTACAAATATGAACTGAGGTTGATATTCAAAGATCTTCGAAAAGTAGATACAGAAACTGTTAAATTTGTTCCAGAATATGCAAGCAAGGCTTACGAAAACGAAGTCACAAATGGGATTTTGACCTTTTTGGAGATCCCTGGCCCCTGGATCCATAGAGAATACCAGCGTTGATGGTGAAAGTATTCGACAGATATCCATCGACGGCCACTTGTAGGAAACGTTCTTTCAGGAAGCTGAACAGCCATACACAAAAATGATCCGACAAGCCATAGCACCAGAGTTTGGCCGGCAAACCCTCATACCACACACGGTCAATGGCCTAAGAAACATCAAGCGCAACAGCTCTTGATTCTTCATATTCCTCGATTGCGTTATTCCAAATATGAGTGACATTCGATAGAAGGTCGTCTTTGATGATCGCTCAAGATGTTGAAACCTTCCAAATATTCGATAATATAGTGGTTTACAACTCTCATCTTCATTATTTTCGATATCATAGATAGCAATGCTACTTGTCTATAGTTATTTTTTTGCGCTTTTTGTATGTAGGAAGAACGAGACCAATCTCTCAAAGGAAAGAAAAAGCCTCTTTTTTGCAAGACAGGTTGAAAAGTCTGCAAAATACTGGTACGAGTTCATTTGTCCACTTTTTAAATACGATGACGAGTACTTCATCAGGGCCAGACGTCTTGTTGATATTGAGCTGGTTGTTGGAATTGAACCATCTGCTTGTGTTAGAGGTGGAATTGTGGATTTTCTTGAGTTCTGATTAACATATTTAGCTACCGACCAGAAGGATATAGTCCCGTTGGGATTGACAAACAGTTCATCTCTAATTTTCTGATTGTGAAGTTCTTTGCTTTCATTTATCCTAAGTTTGCAGGTGTTACGAGCCATCACAAACTCAGTTCGGTTTTTGGCACTGGGATTTTTGCGCCACTGCCAGTAGCCAAGATTTTTGGAGTCGACAGCTTGCTCGCAATTTTTGTTGAACCAAGGTTTGCCGTTAGGGGGTCGATTCGATGTATGATAGAATAACTTCCGTGAATACAGAAGCAGAAGTTGATGGATTTTTAGAGCTGAAACAAATATCTAGCAAGGGAAAATTTCTGAAATGGTCTTGAAGATCCTACCATTCAGCTGATCTGTGATGCCAAACTTCGCGCGGCTCAGATCGTTCCCCAATATTTATCGACGGTTCATTCAACACTGAAATGAGTTTGTCGTTAGAAGATCCCAATGGAGACCTTACGGTGACTGTTANGAGTCAAATTTCTGAATACGAGGACGAAAGTCAGTTTAACATGGCTGAAGAAGAGATGCGTGACCCCAGCACATCTCCTTTAAAGGAATACATAAAGGCTGCTAAAACGACTTGTGGGGTACTTAGTCTGATCATAATGTTGGTAGCTGCCCAAGGAATTTGTGCTGGTGCTGATTACTGGGTAGGGTTCTGGTATGTATTTTGATTTACAAACAAATTCTGTCCGTTTCAATGTCATTTGTTTTTGTAGCTTCATATCCCAATAGATATTTATTTTACTGTGTCGTGGTGTATAATGATCGTAACCGTGTTAGGAATCACACGTTAAAAGATAAGACCTCGTCAATACTTAGCTCACACAAATTTCGACTTCTTAGGGTGCGACAGCTGGTTAACGGAAAAAAATATTTTCAAACAGCTAGAAAATTTTGTACTATATGCATTGATATCGTTCAGTTTTTTCAAAATTCAAGTTTTTTGACTATTTTCAGCTCATTACTATATGATGATACGATGATATGATTCTTTGACATTTTTCTCCATGAATTCACTTTCAACCAAAACGCTGCTGAAACAGTTCGATAAATAAATCAGGCATTTGGCAATGATAATGTTTAATGACCTAAATGTTCGACGTTGATGAGTCCCGAAGTGATCTACCTACAGTAACCCTAAGGGAAGATTTTAGGACCCTGGTAGGGAATAACACTAGTTTTTGATGAATCAAAATGTATTGGAATCACCGTACGATAATTGAACATATTGTCCTTCGAAGTTCTGCCTCACCTACCATACTCCCCATAATGTGGTAGGTGAGGCGGTTTTCAAGCGCTTCGTTAACTATCTCACCGGCAAAAACGACCTTCGTCGACTTCATTGAATCCCAAGCACCCAATATTTATGCTGACGGAATGAACCGTCTTTTGTTATCTTGGAAAAAGTGCACTGATTGAAATGGCGCTCATTTGGAATGAATTGAATTTTTTAAAATGTGCAAAGAGTGTATTGATGATTATCGCGTTGAACTTTATATTCAAATCATCAAGGAAAATGAATTTTCACAACTGAACAACTCAAACTGAAACAACATATTGTTACTTATCATTGTGTTAGAGTGGAGTTTTATTCTTAGTGACAATAATGAAAACTTTTTTGGAAGTGAACTCAATGACATTGCATTGGCAAGTATACCTTTATCAGTACAGTTGATTTCCTCATGAAAGACGATAAACCAACACAAAATCGGAGGAAGAAAACCTGAGGCTATCAATGGCAACCCACTTCCTATCCGACCTTGAGGCCTTGGGCGGAGAATTGGCTTTCTCCCAAAAAGGTATGAAAGTCCCACATCAGAGGATTGAAAGCTGGCCGCTGGAATTGAGAGATCAGATAGCAGATTCAAAAAATACATTCACAGCAATCACCAGGAATTGATGGAATCTTTCCTTCTATATAAAATAGTCAAAGTATCAAACCGTGCACCAAAGTTCATACTTATCAGCTTAACATCCTTTTTTATGAATGAAAAAAAGAAGGCTGTGTCCAACATAAAAATGAACAGCATGGGGCTATCGGATATGGTAAGTGATACGGGGTCGATTGTATGCCATTTACAAAGTTTTAATATTTCGAGTAGTTTCGGAGATACAGGGTGTTTCAGAATTCGACGGACAAACTTATACCACGTCATTCCTCTTG